AGGGGCTTTTGTGTTGAAATGCTGTTTTCTTTGAAAGCAGAAACAGTGATCGAGGAAAGAAAGTTTCCTTTTCTCAACGTTTTCTTCAGCAGCGAATGCAAGCGCCATTTATACAAAAGTTGCCAGAGCTAAAAACATAAATAGAGATTCTGTGAAGTAAGAGACAAGATTTTTGTTCATTTGTGATGGTGTTAATTCAAATGAATATCAGTAGTTACTGGAAGCAAAACCAATCACATGCTTCTTGCCTCGGCCTGAACTTTTATGCAGTACAAGACAAACTGCTCTTCTAGATAGGGTGGTTCAGTTCACTGGTGAGGATATTTTGAATATTTTGAAGGAAAGAGCTGATTTATATGCAACATTTTTTAGGCAAATAATTGTATACATACATATACACAAACACAAAAATAATTTGCCCATTTCTGCTGGCTCTGTCCTGAGGTAAAAAACTTGTCAGTGCCTTACAAAGTCTCTGGAAGTGATCACTGACATCTTAAGAAGAGCATTCAGTTTTCTTCTTTAAAGGTTACAAAATGTTGACACTACAGGCACTAGGGCATACCCGCATCCCTTCTGAAGCGCAGGCAAGAAAGGACCCTGTGCCAGGAGGTTCCCGCAGCGGTTGGTGGATGACACCGGTGTGTGCCGCTGCCACCAGCCCAGGTTGTGTAATGATCTGCAGATGCTGCCATTGACTCACGTGAGCTCTTTTTGTTCAGGATCGCAGTGGGAGCCAGGCCTTATGTAATGTTCATTGTCACGTTCTCTGTTCCAGCACTGTCATGTCAGCAGAGGGGAAGGATTAGCTCTCCCTTTTCTTTCTTTATAGGTTGGTTTTACATTGGTTTTGGTGTGTTTGTGTTTTTTTTTTTGCTTTCTCCCACCCCTTCTTGCAGCAGCTTTGTTGTTTTTGTCGTCAGGGCACAACCAGTTTCAGGCTGTTTTTAGTATTATGATGCCTTTTAGTAAGGTTTGTTAACCTAGTGAGAATAAAAGACCGGGTCTTGCAGCCCTCCCAAAACTGATATACGGAAGTGGTTTTTAAAACACTCTGTTACTTTTTTCCCTTGATTCCTGCTCCCCACAAATCACAGTGGGCTCCTTAAGACTTGCATCAAATGTGGGCGAAGACTAGATGTGTCATGCCTATGTTTACATGGGGTGGGGAGAAGCACACTTGCCTTCCTCAGAAGGGTGGTCCAGTACAAGGAGATGCTCTCCAATTTATGTTTTCACAGGCTGCTCCTTTTTCCTTTCTTCAGTTTAATATTCCTGTAGTAAACACATCACTTAGAGGGGATCAATGTCACTTAGTTTTCTTGTAATTTGAACAAGAGGAAATGAAGGAGGAGAATGGCTTTCTTCCTTCCCAGCTAGCAGTGTGTGGCCACAAGTTATCCGTGAGTCACAGCTGAAAAACTATTGCTTGAGTCTTAACAGTCTCAGACTGCAAAGGAAGAAGGGATTAAAATCACCAACTAATCAATTAAGGATGGCTTTCAAAGCAAGTTGTGGGGGTTGTAGCTGGGGGAAAGAAGTTTCTGTTGTTTTTCAGTAAACGCTTAAATTTGCTTTGTTAAAAACTTATAGGGGATCTGCTAGACTCATATTGGTCAGTAACACTGTTGGATCTTATGAGAAAATATTTATCCTTTTAAGTGATTCCCCCCTTCCCCCACCTTTTTTTACATGATAATGTAAAATAGAGATGTTAGTATGTTACGTAACATAAATTAGAGAAATTCTAATGTTTGTTACAATCAAACTGTCTAAACCCACTGATCTTGGGTTTATTTCTTAATTGGTTTTTAAACTGAACAGGAAAGTATTCATTGTTATTTTGCAATAACATTGCAAGTTATTCCTTGCAAACTGTTACAAGATTTTTTTTATCATACAGAGAAGCTTAAGCTCATGACTTTTCAATGATCCATCTCTATTCTTTATAATAATTTTCCATTAGTTATTGAAGGCTACCTATAAGGTACCAAAACTGTGCTAGCAGCAATCTAGCAAGAAGATGAGATTTTTCCCCAGGAGCCAGCAGTTACCTTCATATACATCCAGTTTGAAGTGTTTGTGTGTGAGCTGAGTGTGTAAGAGGAATCTTATGGCCCCAACTAACCATTTTGCTGTTTTGCTGCCAAATAAAAAAGATAAATGAAATTATTATTACCATAAAACATGACTGTATAGCAGAGACTGGAGAGTGTTATACTGCACTGACTTTGAAATAACTGGTTTTATTAAACTGTCTGTGCAAATCCTCTTGTGATTTGCCAGCATGCTTGATCCTGTTTCTGTGGCCAGGCACCACAATGACCAATGTGAAGTCTTGATTACAAAACAGGCTTTAAGCAACAAATCTTGATGAGTCCCAGATATTGGGCTTGGCTGGAGGTTGGGGAGGTGATAGAATCCTCTTTACTATTCAGCACCGTAGTAGCATTAGTGTTAAACCTGCCCTTTCTGAGGGGATTTGTATGGGACAGGTGCATACTCAGGAATGAGCATGTCCTGTGCCTAAATCACTTGTGTCGTAGTAGACAAAGAGCTTCTGCAAAGCCACTTTGGCTTCTGTGGCTTCCTGGGGGTACTGTGGAATTCCGCGCCTCCTTGCTCATGTGGGGAAGGACTCCAGTCTGCCCTGCCCTGCATCCTTCCTTTTTACTTGTTTGTATTTGCAATAGTTAATTAAATAATAGTTTAGTTTTTATAGTGCTGATGAGTCCTCTGATGAAAGTGATGATGTATAGAAATGGGCAAAGTCACCAGATCCCATGATGTCTGCTGTTTCACTTAATAGTGTGGCTCATGGCATGCATGACCCTGTGGTGCAAAACTATCACTTAGATGGGAGAAAGTTCACTTTCACATTTTTCTCTTAACTTTGTATGTAAGGAAAAATGTTGATTTTAAACCTTTGCAGAGTGAAAGAAAAACACCAGGGCAACAGAAATGTGTCCAAATCTGCAAGCCCTTGAAGTTTTCTCATCTAGAACTGAGCCTCTTTTCTGTGCAGGCTGAGGAGGAGGCAGTCATCACCACATGGCATTTACTTACTATCTGAAATGTTCTACCTTAAAAAAGCAAAGCCCAGAAAACTTCAGAACTATTTTTATCTTTGTTGAAAGACAGGACATAATACATGAGAGAAGCTGTCTTGGATGTTAATTTGATGTGCAGTTGATTACAGGGTTTAACTTCCTGGGTAGGATAAACATGACAGCTCTTTTCTCCTTCCTGAGTAAGCAAGAGGAATTTTTCAAAGTGTTTTCACCTAATACCCCACCCCGTTTTCTCAAGGGCCTCACCATGTGTTGAACTGGGCCCTGTACTGTACGGAATTCTGGGTTTCTGTTGTAAATTATGGTGCAGCAGGTTTGGTTTGTATCTCTTGGTGCTGGTAACCCTCCTTCTGGCATACTGCTCGGGGTGCAGCTTCCCTTTTTGCAGCAGGGCAGGAGGCTCATGGGTTGATATAATGTGGGACAGCTGGAAAGTCCAGACAAACGGTAACTTTGATTAGTTGGAGGTAATCTGTTTATCTCTTGCAAAGCGCCCTTGCTACAGCGATTAAACGTTGAGCACGGTGTGCCTGTGTGCGCAAAGGCAAGTGATGGGGCAGGTTGGAATAACTCAGCCATAAAACAGTAGCGACAGCTACAAGCTGGCCCTGTTGTGTAATTCCCCTTGGTGGAAGGCTCCGAACTGGGTCAGATCGGTGTGAGAAACGAGGGCGGTCTTGCGGCTGTGTAATGCCTACCTGCCTGCGTGCCGTGTCCCTGCCGCCTGCTCCCGGTGGCACCGGGCAGGGTGGGAGCCCTCCCGAGACCCCGAGAGCAGCTGCAGAGCTGCCAGAGCTGAGGAGGAGGATGGGAGAGAGGAAGACAGACAGCTGCATGTCAGTAGGCGCAGAGGAGTTAAACATCTTTGTCTCACCCAGCTTCTGCAAGATTTAATTAAGTCTTTTTGAAAGCTAATGTTGAACGCTCCTGCATATGGCTGGGGCTGCTGAACGGATGTCAAGAGTTAGCTTATACAGAACACGTACTTACTGCTAAATGAAAATAAAGCTTAGATTTGAGCCCTTTTGTACTCTAGTCTGAGAGATAGCTGCTCTCCACTGGATTTGATTTTATTTATAGAAATACAAGGATCCATATCCTTTCCTTTAAACAAATTTTAGAAAGTGTTTTATGTTTTTTTTTTTTTTTTTTTTTTTTTAAGGTTCTGCGACAAATGATGAAACATGAGAGATGACACACAGGAGGATACTGATGGGAGAAACTGTATCATGTGTCATTCTTTGACCTGGAGCATTTAGTGGCATTACAGCACTTTTGCTTTTCCCATTGTAGATGAGAATTAATTCCTGCTTTTTTAGTGTTTGTATTTCCTCTGGTTATTTTTTGGTTGGTGCTTAGTTTGCTGAGATAGTAAAACGTGGAAATTTTTCGCATGCTTCTGTTGATACTGTTGCCAGCAGGTAGTGTGCAAGGTGCTTTATAGCACAGTATGGACAAGATGGGAATAAATAAATCCCCTTGAAATCCCTGGTGACCAGCACAGATCCACAAAGGTAACACTACTATCTCCTCCTGAAAGGTAAGGAAACATGTAGCTTTACAGTTATAGGTTTGAGTACAACTGCTAAAGAGTAAAACAATGTTTGTTTTCCTTACGGCTGAGTATCATCTGGAAGGGAACATTGTTGCTATTTAAAAGTAAAAATAAGCCACTGTTTTGAAATACACATAGATTTCAGCACAGCATTTGTCAGGAAAAAACTTCTGATAATAGATTGCTTTGTGTCTGCAGTTCCTGACTGGTCACCAGACGTCAGAAAATAAGCAGTTCTGGACCTTGCATTGCCCCGGGGGTCACTGTGTTGCAGCGGACTGAAAGCAACAGAGCTCGGTACCTGCCTACCACCAGAGCACAGAGCTGAATCAATCTCTTTGGCTTGTGTAAACTGGCACAGTTCCACTCGAGCTAATTTAGATTTTGGCCTTTTCTACCATCTGCTTGACTAATCCAACTTATTTTGTGTGACATGTGTAATAGTGTAGGGACTTCAGTTGTCTCTGCCTGGTGGTAAAGTGCTCCTGGGACCTAGTAGTGAAAGGCTTCCTATTCCAATGCCAATCTCTGCAAAGCCCGTTCTTCCCTTGTGTTTATTTTCTTTCAGACACTTTCCAATGTTATTGAGGAGCTGAGAGAGGCAACGCAGGAACTCATGACTTCAGCTGGAATAGTTCAGCATACTTAACAGTTAGATGTTCAGCCCTGCCACAGAGGGCTTGAGTTGTGTCTTTAACCTTCAAGTTTCTGAGCTTATCTAGTTACTGCTGCAACACAGCAGAAAATGAAATTTTTCTTTCTCTTAAAGTGTTTGTAGATATGTATGCTGCCTTATCTGCTTAGAAGTTTTTGTTTGTTTGTTTTTTTTAAGTGGTTGATTAGCTTATAGTTTACACTGGAAACATGGTGTAAGTAGGGAGCAGTGGAAAATGAGTGACAAATGTTTCCTTCATCTTTCTTTAAAGCTTTCTGGGGAATGTGTGGGTAGTAATTCTTGTGAGGCTTGATTTTTGAACACATCCTTTGCTTTATGTTCCTTGAGATCAAAATGCCTTCTTTATTTTCCTTTCTTGGTTGTATTTCTTTCTTTTCATCCGTCTTACACAGATTCTTTATGATAATTCTTTGTGTATGGAAGGGGAGTACCCAGGAGTAACCAGCACTGTCCAGAAGTGACAGTGCATGATTTGAACAGATAAACTTGTGACTTTGTAGTTGGCCTGGCCCTCTCTTTAGGCTGTATTGTTGGTTTGTACCATGATTTCTGCTGTGATGTGCTAGAGTAGCGTAACAGCCAGCTTCGGTTCTTGTCCTTTAGAGAAAGGAAATGCAAATTTTCTCTGATCCGTCCTTCCTTTGTGTTTACTTTTCTCCTTCCCCTGCTTTACAAAGGGACGTACAACCTTTAAAAACTGGATCTTTGTTATCTTCTCTCTGTACCGTTATTAAGGTAATGCTGCCTGTTCCGTTGGTTGGAACAGAGACTTCAGACAGGCTGTGATGAGCAGCTGGGTGACCTTCACAGCAGGTACCGCTAAGTCAGGAGGGTGGCTGCTGTCTGCAGCCCACGGTCTGCATACTGCGATGGTGTTTGCAGGGATCAGGGTAACAGGTATCCATATGGGATTCTGAGATGGATCCTTTTTTCTGTGCTTCATGTTTGGATGGTAGTGTTCTGAAATTGTTCACATAATTTATTTCTGTGTCTTTGTATAATCACAGATTGATACTAGGAATCCGTCTCTGTACTTGTCTAGGATACCAAGAAAGAGGTAGATTTTTGAGTGATTAGTTGATAGATTGGTTCTGATATTGATTCTACAATGCTGGGCCTATATCATTATGATACATTGCTTATGGCATCCATTTTCTACACAGGATTTTGTGCACAGTCTGATATAACTGTTATTTAAAAGACTGATGGCAGATTTGTGTTTTTATATGCAGTAATCCTGCTATGATTTTGAGCCTTGAGGCTCAACGGTTGGGATTTACTGGGCTCATTCTGTACCTCTCTTCTTTTCTCACAGGGCTGCCTCACGGTAGAACATGAGCAGGTAATGCACAAGGAGCACCACTGGGAATCATGTCAGACGAGTCAATCTCAGGGAGTGATCCGGACCTGGACCCGGACTTGGAGCAGGAGGATATGGAAGAGGAGGAGGAGGAAGATGAGGAGGAGGCGATGGAGGAGGACAACGATGGGGATGACGAAGAAGACTTACTTGATGAGAGTGGTAAGTGAATGGGGTTGTGAATCTCTGCATACATTTGTTGTGCAAAAGTGGTGTTAATAATTTCAGTGAGTGACACCTTGGTAGATAGAATAAGGGTTAGGATTTGTCCAGCTCTTGGTAGGGAGAAGTGCTTATGTGGGTGTTGTGTTTAAGTAGGGATTTAATATAGGTTAAATTTGGATTCCTGGCCAAAAAAAATTTCCATCATGAAAACAAGCCACAAGCATAAATTTTAAGGAGGATAGAATTTTTAAAATAGCTTCAGATTCTGGAGAAGCAATTATATAAAGTAGTAAATAAATCAGTTTATAATTACTTGCATTATTAAAAGGTTCTGGTGAAATTAAATATGTGTACATCACTGACTTGCCTATAGGTAAACAATTTAATGGAAACTATGATCAGTTATTTCTTACTTATAATAATCATCTTTAACAACTGGAAAGTGTTATTTGCTGACAGCATACAGGTTGGGTTTATTTTTGTTTGTTTGTGTGTTACAATATGAAAGGTGGCAGTGCTCACTAAGTAAGTTGTCACCTTCTATCCTCACCTAGTTATAGCTGCCCCACTCTCCTCTTCAGTTAGGACCAGTATAGCTGTTGGTGGACCTGTGCTGTGTAGGTTACAGTTAAGAAAGATTAGATAACTGGTCTGGTTCATGGCATGTTCCTAGAAATATGTTTGTTGGTCCAGCAGAAGGGCTGATGTTCTAGGGTATGTAGACAGGCCTGTGTGGCTCAGGTGGGAGTTCCCCATGCTGCAATTGCCACCAAATTCCTTGTATCATAAAACAACATACTGAGCCTAGCGGGATGCTGTATTTGCTTCCTTTAAAATTGTGATTTTTAATAATTTCAAAGGGTGTGCAGATTTTTGATTGCACCTACTTAAACCTACCGAGAATAGTCTTCCTTTTCATAGCATGGAATGTATTAAAGACAGATACTTCTGTCTTATTCTAGTTACTAAAGTATTTTTGGTTTCAGAGTACACTGTTGTCCTTAAGTGTTGTTTGTTTGGGTTTTTTTTAAATTCCTTCAGCCATGTGATCCTTGAAGACTCTGTTTTGATTTAAAATACTTATATAAAGCTTACACAAATTAATTTTATTCCTCTGGTTTTATTCACGTGATGACTTTTTCTAATGGGAAAGTAGCAGAAATGGAAGTGTTAGTTCAGGTAAGAAACAAGGGAATTCCCATGAGATGGAGTTATGGGGTCACAGATTACTTTGTGTTGAAGAGACTGATGGTGACCTTGTCACTTTGTTCATGGGAACCTGTGCCCAGCAGAGCAATAGGAAGCGTGACGTTGTGGACAAACTTATTAACAGAGAGGAGTGGCTGTAAGTCATGCCCAAGTGGGTCATTCCCCATAGTTATTTTATCATAGACCTATGTATTTTATGATCTACATCTTTACTGTTGTGGCTGAACACTCATAATTGTTTGTCAGGATTATTGTTTCCAAAGCAAACAAAATTAATGTAGTTATATCAGAACATCGCTAACAGTAATGACAGCTGTTTACTTTCATCTAAAAACACTAGAAACATGTTTATGCTTTATATTTCTTTAGTGACTTATTAAAAATAAATTTTAACAAATTAGGAAATAATGAGGCAGAGTAAAAAGGCAATTTATACATAACTAACATAACATTTTTTATAGTTGTTCATTAGGTACAGGAAAAACTTTCTCTTACACAATCTGAGCAAAGCTAGATTGCCTTTGAGGTTTCAGACTGTTTCCGCTTTAATTCTGTCTGCCAGGGTATCAGGATGCTTTCTGTGTGCTTAGCTGTATAATTATTGTTTTCTGTGGAGGTGTCCACTCTGCTTTCTTGATATCTCTTCACAGCTACATACTGCCTCAGAAATGTTATTTGACATCTGTATTACCTTAGATCTAATATAAAACCCGTCTCCTGCTATTTGGCCTATGAAATATAGCTAACTTCAGAATTAAGAGGATCGTTTTATTTTGCCCATCTGATGTTTATAGTCCCGTCTCTTTGTAGATGACCCTCATTCATAAAGATCTACTTAGGTAACAGACAACTACTTCTATTCACAAGAAGGAAGGAAGTGTTCTAATGTTTATACAATGAAGCTTTTTAAAAGCTTAATTTTAATAATTTCTGTTAAAACTTGGTTCTCCCTGTTCCCAGCTGTGCTGTTCTCCTCCTCTTCTGGTATTGTGGTTGTTCTGTAGATGTTTCCTTGGGGATCCTGGGGGGCATCCTTCCCTCGTGAATGAGCATATTTCTAGCACTACAAGATTTAGAAGATTATTAATCTTTCACAATTATTTCCTTGGAAGGGCAACAGGATGCATATACATTTTGTCCAAACTGAAACTGGTTACTACTTTTAAATAATAGTGATTCCAGAAATTATAAAACCAACATTTTTGCTGCTTGCTTGCAGAATAGTGGCTTTGTTTTAGGAACGTAAGTTTTCCGTGTTTTGATGGTGACTCAAATTACTTAAGAACCTTCCAGGGTTAATGTAATGTGATCCACACCTGGTGATGGTGGATAGTATAGTCTCAGACTTAGCAGTGACTTGTATTTTGCATGTTTAACCTGTTCTTGTCTTTTTTGTTATATGTTGTCTGTGGAATTAATACTTGTGGTGGTTTCAGTTTCAGAATTTTCTTGGAGTTCTTTTTACATTCTAGTAATTGAGAGTGCTGTCTTCAGTTTTGGTGCAGTCTAGAGCTTACTTTAGTTTGGACCTTTACGGTACAAACTTTCAGTCTTGATGAAAGCAGTTCTTAAACCTTCTCCCTCTGCCCGCAAGGAAGAAAAACATCACAGAAGGCTAGTTTTCTGCATATCTCTGAATAAGTGAGAGTTAATAACCTCATAGCTTTCATCCTTTGTCCATTTCTTCAGCAGTGGTCAGTTAATGAACCTCAGCATCATGAGCAGGGGCACTTGCAGCTTTAGTCTTTTTTTTTCTGGAGCACTTCTAGGACTTACCTACCCTGATACTTATAACCCTTTCCCAGTGGCTGCCAGACTGCACACCCATCCTAGCAGCACGCTTCAATCCTAGCTGGAGGCTTCCACTGCTTTTCCAGCCTTGTCATCCCTGCCCACTGCATCTGTTTTCTCATCACTTGTGGGTAGCAATGCTTGTTTTATCATGTTTGATTTTGTGATATCAGTACGTGACTGCTAAGAACTTTTTTGTTAACTCCCTAAATTCTTTTCACTAGAAATGTGATATACTGGTGACTGCAGAGATAAAGGGCTGTTTCAAGTCCTGCACTTTTTCTCTGATCCTGGTAGTTGCTCAGGGCTGTGTAGAACTCAGTAGGAATAAAAGCTAATTTGAGCAAGAGGAAACAAACCTCCAATATGGATTTTACAAATCATTTGAAATGCAGGGACTGCTCATACCTCAGAGCTTTCCCGAGGAAAGCTGTTGAGTGTTTGAACAAATCCCACTGTAGTGCTCTGTTTTTCCACTTTCTGAATGTCTTTGGATTATTCTGATTGAAGTCGCTGGAATTAATTCTCTTATACATATTGCTGTAATTCTGCTATTAATAGTGATGGTAAGTTGCTTGTTTTCTTACCTCTGAGCATATGGGTTAAATACTTCTTTAAAGTGTAGTTCAGGGATAAAAGTGTGAAGAGCGGGTTGTTTCAGTGCTCTGAAAGATGCCTTAATGAGCACAGTCATTCAGACATTGTTTTCAAAGGCTACTAGTTGTGTTTGCATTACAAGGTGTGTGGTACAGCAAACAGGGGTTGGAATCAGTGCTTCTGGGGTATAGCCAGAAACAATCTTCCAGTACCATGTTGATACTGCAGTTCTTAATGTACAGATACACCAGGCAACACCACGTAATAGCGTATTGGATGCTACTATTGTGATATGACAATCTGCATGCAGTTGGCCTTCTCTTCTGCCCTATGTTGTCCACTTTGCCTGTTTTCTCCTTCCCCGTTCCCTCTTTTTTTCTGCAGCAGGGCTGGGCATGTGCTTGCTCTGCTGTGTGGCACCTCTGACTAGTGGAGGACAGGAGGAGATGGAGGCAATCTGTGCTCCCTCTTCCCACCTCAGATTCATACTGTTCCTCCTCCTCCTCCTGTCAAAGTGCTGGGCAAAGCAAAACTGCTTTGTGTGGGGTTTCTAGGGACATATGGACCCTTAGAGGAGTGAATGAGGAGCACAGATGTCTTGGTGGTACAGGATCTTAAGTCACAGGGGAGTGGAGGACATGCAAGTGCTTCTTAATAGGGTGAAGGCACCAGGGCCAAGTCTGAGAACCTCTGAAATGTTGGCACAGGAGGTTGGTGAGAGGGAAAGAGACCCTAGCCTCTTAAAACTGTGCTCATCCCTGTCTATGACATTTTCATGACAGATTCATGACAGAGTTACCTCTTGTTTCTGAAGCAGGATCCAGAATGTATTGCAATAGGTGTTTTTTTGTTTGAAAATGAGTGTGCCACTTGGTACTCACAGTTTTGAATTTCCCAAGATACCAAGGCTGGAGTACTTGACTTCAGATGACAACCACTGTTGATTCAGGTTTAAAAAGACCTTTTCTTTCCTTTAACTCTTGCTAGAGGAAAGCCTTTTTATTTAAAGGAGTACTGCTAGACCAGCTTTGTGTACAATTTTCACTTGGTGGTTCGGGACAAAAATGCTGGCACGAAATTATAACAAGAATGGATTTTGTTTATTGTAATGTTCCTTTTATGTTGCTCTTTGTCTCTCATCATCATGGTGCATGCAGCATGGGGTGCAATTACATTGAAAGTGAAATGGATTTGTAGCTGCCTGGTTAATTTCCTTGTCTAATCTGATGGGAAAAATCAGTAGTTAATGCCATACTTATTAGAAAGTTCATTAGCACCTGGAGTTATTAAAGCTGAAATTATTTTGAAAATCTGTTTTTAAAGTCATGTGTAAGTGTGGGTTAACATTTTTTTGAATGCTACATGAATGCATCCTTGAGGTGCAGGGAGCTGCTGCTCAT